CAGGAGACATTTCTTTAGGAACAGCTCTCATAAAATATATAATACAGATAATGTATATACGTAACAAAACATTTTAATTTTTAATATATTTTATTAAAAGATAAGAAAAAAAAAAGCAACAAAACCATAGAAGTAGTGGGATATACGACCTTACTTTTTGAAACTAACACACCAGACTGGTTTGGTGGCAGTGGTTGCAATTCTTAGTGAGCTCTCAAGGTGTTCGTCAGAGATTAAATTTTTCTGTACTTCATTGTTGAAAAGAGTTGCTCGCAAATGTGCGTACTGCCAAAAGCGATGAGGCGAATAAGGCATGACTGTGAAGCAAGGGATATTCTCTGGTAAGAGGTCTTACAAAAATCTGGTAAAGAGACATGATGATGAGACTTTTCTTTAAGCTGAATGCCTGACTGCAACTCAGTACATTCCAGATGAAAATGTGCAGGTTGTGTATTTATGTTGACTGAAAATGGAATTGCAAATAGACGAAAAGATTATGATTTATTTTTTTCAATCTTGAAACGTGTTCTCAAATTCCTTGACCAAAACAGAAAGCATGGTTACATATTTTTTCTGTTCACAGGACTGTGTTTAGCCAACGTATCAAAATCCATAAACGTATTTGCCGTAACTTGAGTTAATATTGCACTGCAACCTGTGCCCTGGTTTCGTCTCAGATAGGGTCAACATTGCATTGGTATTTAGTCGTTGGGAAGCGATAGGTGCTCTCCCCTGGCCAGGATGCTTGGTGGGAGGAGTTGCTGTCATGATAGAACACGGCAGGGTCAGCCACAGTGCAAGCTGTGCCAGGCTGCATGCAGATTATGGGCTGCTGCTTGTACATGCATCATTCTAAGATAATTACTTACAGAAAAACAGAATGCTTATGTGAAAAATGCATACAAAACAATTTCTTCACTTGCTAGAAATCCAAATTTAACTGGCATCTCAGCAGTAATCCATCACACAGAGAAATGACTTTTTGTGCTGATTTCATGTTTGATAACAGCATAGAAGTCTGAACATTTTGACAATATAACAAAAGAGCAACTGCATTAGGCTGCAGTGTTCCTTTATGAAAACATTATTCCACATTTCTGATGAGATAGACTGCTGTACACATTTTAGCAAAAACATTTCCAAGAAAATCTAATAAAAAAAAGTAAGATAAAAGAGAGTTTGAGTTTTTCAATTACGTTATGGTTCAGTTTAGTAACTTATACTACTTACAAATGTCTATGTTTGCCCCAGTGGGGACCTATTCTAACTCTAAAGAAAAAGAAATATATAGGCTTCCTTGGAAAACTGAGTTAGTAAATCCAGCAAACAAATAAATTTGTGCTTCTTGTCACAGTAGCAGTGTAGCTGGAGTAACAACATGGAATCAATGATACCATCAAGGTAAGGAGAAAACAGTGAACAGTGGCATCACAAGGGTTTTTTTTGTTGTTTTTTTTTTGTTGTTGTTGTTGTTGTCTGTTTGTTTGTTTGTTTTTCCATTTATCAGAAATTATCATGCTATCCTGAAAGTATCATAGAAGATTAGAACTACATGGAGAACTAATATTTTGATTAACTGACTGAATGAAAGAGAAAAACCAGTAAATTTCTCAGAGGTCTTTAATCTTTAAAAAAATAGCAAATTCTTAAAACATCAAAATGAAATAGTTCAGCTTTCAAAACAGCTGCTTTCAGGTGAAACTACTTTGAATGTATATCAAATTCAGCTAGTTATTTTCACTGACCTTATACTTATCCAGGAATAGGCAAAAGCCTGTTCAATAAAGAGTCTTGCCCATCCTATAAGTGAAAGCAATTTATCATGCTCATCAGGGTTTACAGCATACAAGTGCATATGTGTGCTGGAGATGATGGTTCAGAGGGTTCTAGCAAAGTATTTAGCTACCTTTTGAGCACTGAGTGACTCTAGATTGCACTGCTGTGATTTTCCATTGACCCAAACCCAGTAAAGGCTTTTTTACATGTTTTAACATTTTCAGAAAGAACATGAAGCATTGCTGCAGGCCCAAGTGAAAGCACAACAATTTGTATCCATCTCTAAGTGCTGTGGACTAGTTTCAAAACAGACATAAATGGTGTTCTAATCACAGTTCAACAGACTGCCTATTTTTAAAATAGATTTCTGAACATACGTTGGGCTATAGGGCACACAAATAAGAACCTACTATTATTGTCAGAAGTCTTGTGAAGGGCCAAGTGGAACTGAAAATAGCATCTGTAAGCATGCCTTAACATGCTCTCCCATCCAATTTCTTCATGTGTTGTTTTTGTTTTAAACTCAGCCTTTAAAATCTGTAAAGGGCTTTTTCCTATTTTTCAATTATTTTTTTAAATGTGGGATGGAACATGGAAAGCTAGGGTTTTGCCTCTACCATCACCAGAAGAGAAATAGCTTGTTTCTGCTTATTTTAGCTAAAATTAGTAGTAGCTGAAAAATGCTCTTTCTTGGCTGCCTGAATATTGCTGCAGATGCTTGAGATTTCTTTTAGAAACTCTTATCAATGAATTGAAGAGGTGTCCTGTGGAACCTTTCACCGAAATGCTCTTATTCTAAAAGAAATGCTGGTCTTCAGAACAGCTCTTACATATTCTAAACAGTCTGATTTATATACTCTTCCGTCACAGTGCCTTTGCACTTCAGTGCCATGTCCTGTGATGCTCTCATTTACTGGTTTTCCAGTTGAGACTTGCCTTTGTTACAGTTTCTAAGATCTAGATGTCAACACCAGGTATGGTGGACTTCGTGAGGGAAGCTGCCCACATTTTGTAAATGCTTTGCCTGTTTTCCTCTGCAGTTGCCCACAGATGTCATACTGTATGCGTTCTGGTAGAAGTAACAAGGCTGTTAGGAATGACAACGACTGACCACTCCCATCTTTTTAATGTCTACTGCTAACCTCTATATATGCATGTCGGCATAATCAAGAAGGATGCTGTTGCTAATATTAGGGCAACATCTCTAGCAGAAGGAATGCCCACGACCTTAGATTTCGCAAGAAATCAATTGCTCTGCCTGGGTCCCATCCAGCCTGGCCTTGAACACCTCCAGTGACAGGGCATCCACAACTTCTCTGGGCAGCCTGTTCCAGCACCTCACCACCCTCCCAGAGAAAAATTTCCCCAACATCAAATCTAAATCTCCCTTCTTTTTGTTTAAAACTATTTCCCCTTGTCCTATCAGTACCTATCTGTATTACTGATTGTCAGAGGAAACAAACAAACAAACAAACAAAAAACACATTACTTCAAACTGCTTTTTTTTTTGTTGTTGTTATCTTGAATTCCCATTCTATAATAGCTGGTTTATATTAAACCTTCAAAAGCAAAGATTCATACTGACTGCTGTAAGCAGCAGAGGGAATTTCAAGCCAAGCATACCTGGGAAAACCAAGAATAACCAAAATGTAATCTTTTCATTCGAATCAATAGAAAAGTAGACAAGGAAACCTTATAATCTCAATTTAGGAGATAATTCTACTCTAGAAAATAAAGAAAATCTGAATAGACTTTGACAGAGACTGGAAGGTGAACTGGAGTTAACTCATATTAAGCTACACAGAAGGTGGCAGAACTGAAAACGTAATCTGAGACTTCAAAGTGCTGTACATGTAAGAAAATAAAATTACCCAGTAGCAAAATTCAACAACTTATTTACATCATTTTGACAGCATTTGTTCATTCAGACTGTTAAGGACACTGTGTTGTGATTATATTTTGATCTGTTGCCAAAAAAGCCCATGCCATTACCCATTACATATATTTTGGCAATAGTAATATTTGTTAGAAAGATTGACTGCAAGTAAGTAGAGTATGCTATGTCACATAGCTACATTAATTTCCCTGTAACATAACTGGGATGGAGTACTGCTACAGCACTCTTGGGAGGTTCAACCGCAGCCATCATAAGCTCAGTTTCTGGGAACTCACATTCAGCTCTACAGGCTTGGGGCACAGTGGCTGGCAAACTGCACAGAGGAAAAGGATCTGTGGGTGTTAGTTGATGGCCATCCGAACATGAGCCAGCAGTGTACCCACGTGGCCAAGAAGGCCAATGGCATCCTGGCTTTTATCAGAAACAGTGTAGTCAGCAGGACCAGGGAGGTTACCATCCCTCTATACTCAGCACCGGTGAGGCTGCGTGTTGAGTCCTGTGTTCAGTTTTGGGCCTCTCACTACAAGACATCAAGGCCCTGGAATGTATCCAGAGATGGGCAATGAAGCTGGTGAGGGGTCTGGAGCACAAGTCTTATATGGAGCAGCTGAGGGAGCTGGGACTGTTCAGACTGGATGGAGGGTTGGGGAGACCTGATCACTCTCTACGACTGCCTGAAGGGAAGGTTGGCCTCTTTTCCCAGGCAGCCAGTGACAGGACAAGACGGAGTGTCCTTCAGTTGTGCAAAAGGAGACTGAAGTTGGGTATTAGGAAAAAAAATCTCGGATAGCATGGTGTGGCAATGGCACAAGGAGATGGAGTCACTCCCCCTGCAGGTGTTCAAGATATGTGTAGATGTGGCTCTGAGGGACATGGTTAGGCGCATGGGCGGTGGGTTGATGGATTGCCTGGATGACCTTAGTGGTCTTCTCCAAACTTAATGATTCTATGCTTCTGTTCCTTATCTCAGATTATGAAAGAGAACCAAACCAGCACAGAGCGTTTGCACTATGCTGGTAATGCAGTTGATTACTACAATTCTTAAAGGCAGCCTGTTGCTGGCACCAGTTGCATAGAACGCCTTCATACTGCTTAGGGGAGAAGAAAAAAAACAAAACAACAACGGGCCGACTTCAGCGCGGCGGTGGTTTGGCAACAAGCTCCATGCCGAGGTGCGGAACTTAAAACCGGGCTATACGCCGTGCTGCGGGTGGAAATCCAGGCTTCGCGCCACTTCTGTTCCGGGCCGCGCCCCGCGGCCACAGCAGACGGGGCGGACCCGCAGCCGCCCCCACCCTCTCTGGGCGCGTCCTGGCGGCGGCGGGCGGCCACGTTGACAGGGAGGGCGGCAGGCGGTGCTGGCTGCGGGAGAGGGGTGTGGGCGCGCTCGTGCGGGCGCTGTCAGGGTAAACATGTCTTCGCCTCCCAAAGAGAAAGCCGAGACCCGGGCCGGACACCCTCCTGCTGGTACTGCCGCCGGGTCCCGTCTCTCAGCTCTTTTTCTTATGGCCTTCGGGGAGGGCCTCGGGGAGGGCCGGGGCGGCGGCGGTGGAAGAACGGAGAGGCCCCGAGGGGCGCGCCGCGCCCGGCAATGGGGCAACACCCGCCTGGGGCTGGGCACAGGTGGCCTCTCCAGTGCCTCGGCCCAGTGGGTTCTCCGCGGCAGGGGTGGGGGGGTGGGAGGGAGGCGGCTGCTCGGCCCGCCGCGAAGGGCTCCGGCGCCACGTAGCCGCGTAGCGAAGTCCGCAAGCAGGAGGTTCAAGGCTGAACCTGTTGGCGCTCTGTGTTTGCCTATGGAGAAGGTCGCCAGCTTGCCGGCCTCCGGCCCCTGCTGTGCCCTAGGACGTGGAAGCGTGTGTGTGCCCTATCCAGGTCTCAGACAGCAGCTTGCCATCCCTCCCCGAGCCGTTCGCTGGCTTTCTGGCAGCTTTCCTTCCTCAGCGACAGAGGCTGCTGTTCCCCTATGCCTTCCTCTTATTCATTCTTGCCCAAAAAGCTCTTCTGCTTGCACATGCTTTCAGGCCTGGTTGCTGCTGCTTTTGACACTTTTGGGTTCTGACCTGGGTGCTCATCTGTGAGTGTGTGTTGTCCTTGAAAGGTGAAGAAGATCTGAGAGCAGCCCCAGGGCTGACAGAGGTGCCCTGCCTGCACGGGGGGGGGGAACAAGCAGCCTGAGATAATAACAGCATGCCCTGCCATCTGCATGGTCCTGCATGCCAAGTGGAAACACAAACCAGGAGCTCAGTTTGCTCCTTATGTCCTTTTTTTTTTTGTGTGTGTGTACAGTGATTCTGGTACTGCGTTAGTTTGAGGGGATTGAAGCCACGCAGTAGTGAGCTTTAGTTCTAGGGATGAGTAGGGAAGGAGGCAGAACAAGACACTGGCTGAGGCTGTTCTGGCAGTTTCCACCCAGTGCTGCTTGCTCAGTGCGGAGCAGTGGTGGGGCACAGGCTGAGCTGAGTCATAGCTTTGGTGTTGCATAGATCCGTCATCAGCCATGGACGGGAGCTCCTGTGTGCAGTGGGGGCCCATTTCTCATAGTGTTGTTCTTTCACACACTGCTCATTTTTCTTCTTGATCACAATATTTTTAAAACGCGAATTTCAGTCATTGCTCCACAGGCTTTTCTTACGTCTTCCAATGTTTCCTAGTGGAATAGTTTTTCAGGTGTTTCAGTCAAAAATGCTGAAATTCATCAGAGTTCACAGAATGATAGAAAGGTGTGGGGTGGAAGGAACCTTAAAGCTCATCCTGCCCTAGCTCCCTGCTGGGGGCACAGTTTATATCCACCAGATCAGGCTGTCCAGGGTCCCATCCAACCTGGCCTTGAACACCTCCATGGCTAGTTAGATCTCATGGTGAGCTCCTTCAGGCAACAGAAGCCATTGCTCTTGAAATTTGGTCTCCTTGAGGTGATGTAAATGAATGTTTGCTTCAGGATAAAAGAAATACGGAGATGTTAGATTGGTGCAACAAGAAGACACACCTAACCAATCAGCAAAAAGGGGAGAAAGGAAGAGTGGTAGACATTTCCAGCTAGCTGCCTTGTAGTTATACTTTTTTATATTGTTGCTTATTTGATGGTTTTGTTTCAAAGCCTGTGTTCTCAACCAATGGTTTGTTATTTAAAAAATCTCCATAGGCCTGCTTAAAAATGAACGATGCACAATGCAAAACCGTAATTGGAATACAACAGGTTTTCCTTGCTGTCAGAGTGTTTCAGTATTTTCTCCCTTTGTAAGATGTGCATCCACATATGAGCTGAAGGACTTGTTCAGCTGTTTACCGTTTAAGATCTTCAGCAACCCTGAGGGTGTCCTGTGAGTGTGCACCAATTCAGCTTTGGAAGGGGAATGCCAAGTCTGTCTATGAGATGAGGGAAACGGATGTTTTACAGAATCTTCGAGTCATCCCAGGAAGGGGATGGTTCTGAACTAATTGTCAGAGGAGAGTGCTTCTGATGTGTTGTCCTTTGAATGCTTTGAAAATCCACGATGAACATGCTGACTAATGGCAGTTTATATTTACTATGAAGGCTGAAGCTAGGTTTTAATCCTCTATCCCAAGCTGTTTTAGATCCTTGAATAATAATGTGATGCCATCTGTTTGCACAGAGGTTTTAATAAGTCAGGAATTCTTCAAAAATAAAAAATAAAAATGAAAGAATAACCTGTAGGCAGTTTGAATAGTGTTCTTAAATAGGCTAGTTCTTAGCCAAGCAAAGCTGTAAATATGAGAACTTCATTGACTAACAGCTTGAAAGCTGTGGGTTTGCTGCCTATGGTTGTATCTATAATCAATACCATTGAGTATGAATCACATGGATAAAAGTTAGGAAAGATTTGGATCATGAAATTGAAGCTGAATTGACAAACTGATTATATTTCATGTGCACTGAGAGCCCTCGCTGACTGCACGCAGTCTGTTAGCTTCCTCTCTGCATTGATCTTTTCCCATAGGTAAAACAAAAAAGACAAGAAAAACACTTGAAAAAAGAAAGGATAATGAAATAGAAACCTTAAGACCTCAGGTTGGTAACAGGGTATACAAAGTGGCTTTGAACTCCTTTCTGAAACTTAATAAAGCTTAAGTTGAGGCCCTCATATATATCTGTCAGTAAGATCAATGTGTCTGTAATACAATGCTGTGTAGGTTTGTATGGCTTGCAGCAGCTGAAAAAAGGGTGTAATTACGCTTTTAGCTGTTCATTTCTTCCAGTAACTACTCTGGATGAGTAAAGCAAGGTGATTGTGGTAATAGTTTATTTATGAAGCTTTACAGTGGATTCATGAAAATAGTGATGTGCTTTAGTTCGGCAGTAGAACAAATAGCTCTAAGTCAGGATTTCTATGAAATGAGGGCATACAATAACTCTTACTTCCACTGTTTTGTCAGATGCTAATGTTTGTTCCCTTAAGCATGCAAAAGGGCTTGTTTAAGGTTTCTCTTGGTCTTGGGTTTTCATACATCTTACAGTAACAGCTTCCATTATACTTGATGTGGTTCATGAGAAACAAATTACTAGTATTTAGCGCTACACTCAAGGTGAACAGGAAGGAGCTGAAGATCTTGGCTAAGCTGTTGATTTCTAGAGGCTCTGAATGGGATTATTTCACCTGAACCAGAAGGTGTGCCCAGGGAGGGCTGCCCTAGGCCATGAAGCTACACTCTGCCTGTCTGAATGAGCTGTGGTCAGAGCAGTCATTCAGTTGCAATGTTTCTGCAGGTGCCTGGTGCTTTCTGTTCTGGTGTGATTTATTTTGGAAGTCGGGAGTGCGGCAGTGGGAGGGAAGGTTAAATAAGAATGCTTACTGATTCCAGGTCACCTTGAATATGAAGCAGGTTGCTTAGTGCATTTCTGGGAGTAGCTGTACCCATAAGAAGAACGCAGGCTTCATTCATAGGATAAACAAGGCAGTCCTGTCTGCAGCTCAGAGCAAACCAACTAATAACTAAAAACTCTCTCTTATCCAGTAACTGGACAAACAGACCTTTCTGCTGTTGTTCCCAGAGTTTGCTGGGAGGTGAGCCCCTCTTCATTTCACGCTGTGGAAGATGATGGTACCTCATCAGCTCGACAGCAGCCATTCCCTAGTCCCCTGCCCTCACAGGGCCCAATGCCAGCAGCACTGCAGACTGAGGTTTGCAGAATTACCCGTCTCAGTACGGGAAGTGTTTTGTTCCTGATCCCAGGGCAATTGCTGGTACCTTCCTGTTTGGGGCATGTATTCTTAGCAATGTTCTGGAAGGTGGTTTCTCAGTTATTTAAGTCCTTTTTCTGGTCTATGAAGAATCTGAGCTCATATTCTCTTAAGAATAGTTTTTAACTGACAAAATCATTGTAGAAAGTGTTTGACCAGCCATTGTATTAAAGTCTAGGCAAGTAGGAAATAGAATGAATCCTCTTAATCCAAGAAAATCTCCCAAATGGAGTATTTTTCCTTCAAGTTGGGGCATATAATCATTTCTTCTCTGTTCACACTGCTGTGTTGCTGGGTTGAAATCTTTTGAAAAGGGAGATGAATTGTGGTGTGAAGATATTCTTTCTCAAGTCTTTTGAAACTAGTTTAGGCATTACTGTGTTGTATCATGGCTGGCATAGATGTAGCTCAGCTGTATGTACAGGAGGCTGGGGTCAGTGTTTCACTTTTGCTTTCAGAAATTCAAATTATAACTACCTGCAGAAGGATCTGAATATGTTAGCTGTATATCCTTGCCAATGTCAGCTAAAAGAAAACAAGTGGCTGCCAGACTGATGATATATAATGGAAGAGGAGAGGTGTTTTAGACCAGCTAAATCCTTGGGTATTGTTTCACCTGGTTCTCTATTAGATGGTGAAAAGTTGCAGTGTGGGAACATTGTCCAGAAATGCTGTTTGTGACCTGGCAAATGGGTGATAGTATCCTCTACAAAAAAGAATTTGAAATGGAGTTAAGAGGGTCTGATTATGCAGTGAGACTAGGTTTAAAAGTTACTGTTAAAAAATAATGGAGATAAAGCAAAATGCTGCAAGTAAGGATTTTAGGCTTTCAGAAATGCCGTGGTGTCAGCAATTTAGCTGGTGGGTCTTGCGCTTATTCTAGCTTGTAGACTTTGATTAACTAAGTTAAATCAAGATGTTAGAGCAAGATAATGCTTGGTAACACTCAGTGTTTACTTTTATGAGTAGACTTGAGTTTGTAAGGAGATTGCATCTAGAAAAAATCCAGAGGATTTTTTATTTCTGTTCCATATTTAACACTATGTGTATTTGTTACCTAATCTTTCTGTCTCACATGTTAAAATATTTTAGTTTTATTCTGGAGACAGCACAAAAATGGTGAATATGCTGTGTATTTTGTTATTTCATTATAATGGACATAGTTTTGAAGGTTTGTAAAAAGTACTTTCTTCTTTAATTTTCTGTTGGTTGCTAGTCTTTAATATCATTTATCAAATCAAAGTCTTTCAAATATTACATGAAACTTAGAGATCTATTTAACAAATCTGAGGACCTAACATGCACATTTTCTTGGGGGTGGTTACTCTCTTTGCCTTCCCCAGAGTAGGCTGTAAAACTTAAACGCAGCAGTGTGTTTCATTGCTGCTCTGAAGATCTAAGTCAAGAGCTTGCCCTGTTCCTAGTCTTCAGAGATTTGCACTGAGCCTTAGTCTCTGTGAGGTGGGTAGCAAGGGGCTTCAGAAGTCCCAGCCTGCCCTAGCCATGGCAGCAAGCTGCTTCAGTTCCCTTCAAGTCACCCACACATGTGCCCTGGCACTGCTCGCACGGTGTGCCATCTCTGAAGCTGCCTATGGACCTTCCACTTGTGTAAACAAGGAGCACAAACTAGCCTCTCCGTAGATTTTTGTTGTTGTTGTTGTTGTTGTTGTTGTTGACTGCTGTAGTGCTTTTCTGATGTGGTTACTGATTGGAATGGAACTCTTCCAGTTTGTTGTGATGCATCCTCTTATGTCCAAGCAAAGATACAGGTTGGGCAGAGAATGGCTTGAGAGCAACCCTGTGGAGAAGGATTGGGGCTGTCAGTTGATGAAAGGTTCAGCATGAGCCAGCACTGTGCGCTTGCAGCCCAGAAGGCCAACTGTATCCTGGGTTACATCAAGGGAGGTGTGACCAGCAGGTCAGGGGAGGCGATTCTGCCCTTTTGCTCTGCTCTCATCAGACACCACCTGGAGTACTGTGTCCAGTTCTGGAGACACCAGCGCAAGAAGGACATGGAGCTGCTGGAGTAGTTCCAGAGAAGGGCCACAAAGCTGATCAGAGGTGCTGTCGCACCTCCCCTGCAGGGATGGGCTGGGAGAGCTGGGGCTCTTCAGAAGAGAAGGCCCTGAGAGACCTTACAGGGGCTTTCCAGTTCCTGAAGGGAACTATAGGAAAGCTGAGGAGAGATTTTTTGTAAGAGCACGTAGCAAAAGGATGAGGGGAAATGATTTTAAACTGGAAGAGGGTAGATTTATACTAGATATCAGGAAGAAATTCTTTACTGTGAGGGTAGTGAGTCACTGGAACAGGTTGCCCAGTGAGGTAGTGGATGCCCCCTCCCTGGAAGTACTCAAGGCCTGAATGGGGCTTTGAGCAACCTGGTCTAGAGGGAAGTGTCCCTGCCTATAGCAGGAGGTTGGGAGCTAGATGATCTCAAAGGTTCCTTCCAACCTACAGTATTAAAACAGAAAGTCCATCAGAAGAACCCAGCCTGTTGCTCTCCTTAGTTGCTGTAGTGTTACAGTCTGGATTTAGATCTTATTTCATATTTCACATGGTAGGAGAGGATGTGAATGTAACTGGATTTGCTTTCACTTCTCGATCCGTATTTCAAAAGGATGCATTTCATGATTATGTCATTTCTAAAACATGGCAAGGATTTGAAATGTGGTAATGATGGTCTTACAAAGTAAAAAGCTCTATTTTTAATGCAAATTGAGTCTTCCTAAAACTTGCTTTTTACTATACTGTTTATGATATTTTAATAAATATTACCACTATAATATTTGTGTTGTGTTTCTCACTTAAAGTGACAAATGAGGTTCTTCTGCCCATCTTGTTTTGTGGGAGCATTTAAAGTTTGTGGCCTTTTGGATACTATTATGCAAGCCATTGCCTCAATTTCTTCTGAGTACTACAAGTTAAGAGGTAGGAGAAGAGTTAAAACAGACTTGAATATTCTGAAACAGTCTTGGAAGCAGGTGGTGAAATGAAATGCGCTTCTCAGGATGAGCAAAGATGGCATGATGTGAATGAGAATGACAGATGTAGAAGTAGATGTTTCTCAGATTTGCTGCTATTAAAGAGTTTGGGCCCCTTTTTCAGACAGTGGTTGTTATGTTACTCTGCAAAATACTGTGTGTGGAGAGGTCATCAATAAAGCATTTGTACTTGTGCTGATTTAAGTGAGGTTTTGTCTTTCTCATTTCTGTTCCAGTTAAAGCGGGTGGGATGCGGATTGTGCAGAAACACCCACACAGTTCTGATACCAAAGAAGAAAAAGATAAGGATGACCAAGACTGGGAAACCAGCAGGTGAGTGTTCTGGTTTTGTGAATAAGCTGAGCTAATTTCCATTGCCTTGAACGTTATCAGCAGTTTGTTTTACTTGTAGATAGCAAAGCAATGGTACAGTTGTTTTTGTATTATAAAATTGATTTTAAGCAAGCAAGTTATGTGCTCTGTGAAGGGAATTGGAAATTCTGGCATTTTTTCCACACTGAGCCTCCATTAAATGAGCAGGTAAGAGAAGGTTAGAGGGAAATAAAACACAGCAGTTTAAGTAAGATATCATCTTTCCTAAAAGTCTCTGAACATCATTTCAGGCTGTGCAGAAACAGAAGCTGGGCACATTTGGACGCAAGCTTTAGTTGTCAGTCTCCATATGAGATTGTCTTGCTGTGTGCTAGTGGAGTCCTTTTGCTGTTCAATTTTTACTTCTTTCTCTGTAAAGCATTTGGCAATATGGTGTCAAGGCAAGTAAGAATGAAGTTATTAACATGAGCCACTTTAGGTGGGCGTTCTGCTGTTTTCGTGGTGGAGGATACCAAGACAGACAGCTGTTATGTGATAAATCTGCTTAAAATGCTAAGTGACTGCTGTGTAGAAATGAAAGCAGGAGAGGTTCAGTGAACTAAGCTGTATGTTCAGAATATTCATACAAATGCTTCCTAATTTTTTTGCTGCTTTCTTTGGCTTGCTCTTTTTTTGTTTTTTGTAGCCAGCACTGTATTTACCTAGAACTCTTACGTACTAGTTATAATTGCATTGCTTTGTCCTTACAATTTGCTCGTAGTAAAAAATAAAATGAGAGTGCTATTCTTGTACTTTAGTGAGACTGACTTAAGTAATGTTTATTTAACATCTAAAACAATGCTAAGAAAAAATAAGCCTTGCAAAAGTGTCTGAATAAAAACTGACTACTGTTGGAAAACTGTTCCGAGTCACACTTTGCATTGGAAAGAAGCAGTGCTCTTATGAGGAGAGTGATTTTAACTGATGTATTCAAATGAAAGGGTGGAAAACTAAAGTTTCTGCTATTTCTTTTCTAACCAAATTAGTCACCTTGTTCTTCTTTTTAATGGAGCATAAGTTGGAGCAGAGTCTGTATTGCAGTTAAATTTTGTCCAAAGGAAGGAATCACGTTTTGTGGCTAATTTAAACTTTGCTTGGGCTTACATGCTTTTGTTTATCCTGTGTGTTATACCTGCTGTTTCTTCTATTTCCTTGGCATGCCAGCATCACAGTGTAGAAATCTCAATAGGGTCCAAATGACACGGCTTTTATTACTTATTCACTGATCTAAACCTCTGGTATAGTTTAGTTATCTGCTTTATTTGTTTCTTTATACAGGATTGTCATTTTCCCCTGTGAGTCAAATAGTGTAGGGAGAAGTTTAAGTTTTACCTTGGTATTTGTGGCTATGTCTGCTTCAGCAAGTATCATGGCATGATAGGAGAAAATCTGTAGGTGGAAACATTGCTGAAGTCTTAATGTTCACACTGTGTGTGCGTTCTGGAGACTAGATTGTTTGGTACTTTAGACTGAATGACCAATAAAAGCTGGCATGTGTTAGGTGTGTCCTTGAAGTAAATATTCCAGTTTAGTTTTGTCTGTGAAGAGTCCAAGTTGGGCGCCCGTAGATAATCCACAATGCGAAGAAAAGTAGAATGATTAGCGGGTTGGGAGGGCAGATCACCTCCTGATCTTAGTTAAGATGCTAACGTTGATTACGTTAATATTGTAAAGCAGATGCAGGATCAATTTTTACTCTTAAAGAAGAGTAGAAAGTGTGATATCTTCTGTACCTACTTCATTAACTCGAATTTAGTTAGCCGTTGCACCTCATGAAATCCATTGCCTTAGCAACTTGATCAATTTATTGTCAAAATATGCACTTAGAGCCTGCTCTTTGCTTTGCTTTTGTTTTAGACCATCTGTTATCTGTCTTTCAGGCTCTTGTGCATACTTATTCTTGAACATGTTTTTTAATACAAATAACATTGGTTGGAATTTCTTTTAAGTCTTCCTGTGAAGGAAAGTGGCAGGATGATTATAAGGAGCATACCTAGGTGGAAACCAGCATGGATTATAGCATTTTAAGTTTCCTAGCGGAACTGGGAAACCTCTCTCTAAGAGGGTAAAGAGTTTAATGTGCCTATTTTAGGTTCCTGCAGGAATACATCTGCAGCTGATGGCTGTACATTCTGTAAATGTGAGCAAGAGGTTATTTAACTATAGACAGGATAAGCAAGTTCCACAGGTCGTAGTACATAAAGCTGTCAGAATTAAATGAACGTGCCTTGCAGCATAACTGCTTTCCTTCTGGAAGGTGCGGTCCTTAATTCTGTGCCTCTGCATCCGGTGGTCCGTTGTGACCTTCCAAAATGTTTGTATTTCTAATGCCAATGGAGAGAGGTTTATCAGCTGTGGTAGAAGAAGCCACTAATGTTCTGTTGTGGTTGCTCTGGCATCCGTATCGTTTTTGTCAAGAGACGTGAAAGTGTTTCTTCACTAAAAAGATGTTTTTAACTTTCTATTGTTAAATTTTCAGTCCTTGCCATTTTAAGACAGCCATTTTAAGGCAGTATTGTTGATATGATGCAATCTCTACTCCGTGTTGCATTCAGAGTCAAAAAAAAAAAAAAACAAAGCACAAAAAACAAACATGTTGAAGCAGTTCTTAGCAGGTGTTACCAGCAGCTCACAATGATGTAAGAGAAAATAATAAAACAAAGAATAATAGTGTGTATGCTCACAGGGAGGCTACAGTGATCTTAGCAGTTATTTTAATCTCATTGTAGGTTTACTTAGGACAGACTAGTGGAACTGGCAGTAAGTTGTGGCAGGGGATTTCAAGTTCTCTTAGAATACCCTGGGAGCTTTTGAGAATGTGCCCTTTCCAAGACTGCACATCAGCATGGAAGTCTAAATGGTTGTTTAACAAAAATAAAACCAAAAATACATTGAGCTAGAGTTTGTAGAAGTGCTTGTGGCTTTGCAGAGGTTAACATTGTTTTTGTAGTGTGCTTGAAGGATAAGGCATTAGGTTAGTATTTCTAGAGTTAGTGTAAATGAAGCTGATAGAGGTAACTGAGGTAATTAATGGTACAGTGACAAAACTACCTATAGAATGACATTCACCAGGTGTATTTTTGATATTTCTTTTACTTAGTTCAATACCTTGCATTCCAATTACTGTAATTTAGTTTCCAAAATATTTTATTCAGTCCTGCTTCCTACAGTAACAGTAGGAAGCATTCATATTTATTATTTTGGACTTAAATTCACAGTTAGGAGGACAGCTTCTTAAGTGCTACATTCTTCTCTTTTATGTAAGTGATATTTTTCTTAACACATTTTCCCACCCCATTTTTCATCTTCTGTCTTAATCTTTCGCACAGAGCATTTATGATTAACAGATGCTCAAGCCTAATAAAGTTGAGCTGCGCATAATTTAATTACATAAACAAAAGTAGTATTAGCAGTTTTCAAGCAACTGTTTCTGGAGAATAACTTTTCCTGATGACCAGTCATGCAGAGAAGTAACAAGATAACGCTGTGACCTGTGTTGAACCTTATCAAATGCATATATTGTTACAGATTTAGCTGTAACTACCTGCCAACAGTTTATGGGTGGCTTTGTGAGGGGGCCCACGAACCCATGAGCTGGGAAAAGGGAAAGGGGGAAAAGGTTAGGAAGATGGGCCTAAAAACAAAACAGTGGCAGTGATCTGAGGAGAAACAAACTCATTTACTAGAGAAGATAAAAGGAATGCAAGATAACACACTGTAACACACTATAATTGGAATTGAAGCTAATAAATAAAATGAGTGTCCAAAAACCAAAGGCTTTACTCTAGTGCTGAAGGTGAGATGTTCAGCCAGAATGAGCAGAAAGGTGAAAAAGAAGGACCTCTCATGATGTGCAAATAGTTCTGTCTTTCCATCTGAGCAGAAAATGGAAACAGAACATGTAAAGTCCACTGGAGCATGTAGTATGTAGTTCTTCTCTTCTGAGAACCGGGAACCTGGAACTATGGACAATGCACAGAACTAGAGCGTTAACTCTTTAACTCCCAGTGCACTGCATGATGTTATGATGTGAAATACCAATAACAAAAAACCATAAAACAATGACACTATCTAAAATAGTGTATGTAATACTGATTTTTAAATGCAGAACTTCTGTAAAGCAGGAAAAGTGTTTGTGAATATCTTTAAGTGAAAACATCAGTATGTGAATAGAAAGGAAGAGAAGCTAGACAAGATTATTGATGATACATTCTCATGCAGGAAGATGCTTCCAGTATTCCTCAATGCTTGAAAGTGTAAGTCGATAAAACCATCAAAGTGCTTCTTATTTTGTTGTATAGGTAACTCTTTTTGTATTCCAAGTATTCTGTGCATGTTGAAAAGAACTAAGAAAAGATCTGATATTCCACCCCTCAAAGTGAATAGTAGATATACCATCCGCCTCAGTGAGAACCTTGTTCAGTCTCAAAGAAACATATGTTGTCTTAAGAAATTCACTGGAATGCTGAGTTGATTTGTCAGCCAAGCTGGTGTAAGAAGAAGTTTGTAAAAGAATGAGTCTGTGTGATATATTCATATGTATTCTGTGTGGTGAAGGAAGTGAGAAAGCTTAGTCATATGTGAGAGTAAAATGAATGTGAAGGGAAGTAGTATCTGGAGTGACAGAGTTCATGTAGCATGACATTCTGTGTCTGTACAAAATGTAAGATCTAAGATAATAGCTTCAGCAGTTATTTTGCATTGTATTTTTCTCTTGGTATCCTAATGCAGTGCATGCGATAAAGGTCCCTGTGCTAGCTTGAAGGTAGAAAATAGCGCTGAAAGAGGGTGTTACGTGGGTGTTATAATGCATAAAAATCTCCAAATCCAAACAGTATAATCGAATGATTTTCGTTATGCCAACTAAGCCCAAATTGTTATTACTTAAGTATTCAGCAACTCTGAGATCCTTTCTAAAGCTAACAATCTGAATTCCTATTAGAAAAAGCTGCCAAAGAACC